AGAATTTAAGCAGACCATCTAAGCTTAGTTTGGTTTGTTTTTTTTTTCCCCAGCATGCTTCTCCTTGGGTATATTAACAATATAACAATGGTCCTGAATTCTGAACAGCTCAGTTATGCTCAATTCTCTGCCAAGGCAGCTGTACCTTCTTATTACTTCTGGTTATAATTGGTTTAACTGCCTTCTCTGATTTAACTTACTCAATATTGTTGCACAGCAATGGCAAGAGTAGAATTTTTATTAATTTTTTAAAAATATTTTCACTGATGAGATGGAATCAATTAATGACTCTTCACAACCGAGGTACTGAGACAAATACCAATCTGACTGTGCTGCTAACTGACTGACCAGCCTTCAAAGAGCAGTTATTTGTTTCTGATGGTTTAGCAGCTGGGATGGGCAATGCAACTGCTACCTCCACTGATCTATGTTGGATAACAACCGTTCATTTCCATACAGTGCTCAAGACAACGTTCAGTCAAAATTTAAGAGCCATCTTTGGCAAAGTCTATCCACAACTTATTCTATATGTGTTGTGTATGGCGCTGTGATTAGGTGGGGAATATTTCCCTCCTAAAACTCACACAGAAGTCAGTCAAACTTGTTACAAATGTCAAGAGGTATAATTACTATTACTGAGTTAAGGTCTGTGGAAAGAAATAGCTCACCTCTTTTACAAGCCATTAGTACTGCCAGCTTTAGTTGAAACTTAAAATACACCTGGATTTAAGGCTCATCTTCAGTTTTCAATACACAGAAGAGCAAACTAAGTTTCACCTTCGAAGGTGGTTAACCAGTCCCTTGGCTGGTTTCACTTTGCGCGTTTTGATTTGCCTGCATCTCACTTGGGTTACTTATGATTTTTTTCCACTTGCCCCCAGCAGCGTTATCAGGGCAACAAACAGGCTGGGTCCTGAACAGCTAAAATGCTCACAGAACTCCAGTTGTACAGGATGCATCACTGGCTCTTATGTATACAACAGAAAGGAGCCAGCTGGATTCCCCAGTCCTAGAGAGATTGTAGCAGCAAAAGATCCAGCTTTCAACTCAAACCAAATCATTGATGCTGAAAAATTTACCAAGACAGGTCAAGTACTTAACATCATAAATCACAACAATGTCTCATTTACCATGACAAGAACCAAGCTGTCTCATTTTCCCTACAGTCAATTTAAATATCAGCAAGAATCAAGTGGCTCTATGCTACAGCTTTCCAGAACTCCATTCCATGAACCAATTTTTCATCTTTATGTATACTATGACCCTGAAAGTCTGCTTATTGTGTCTTTTTATTATCGTTGTTTAAAAAGCTCCTTTATCTACAAAACTATCTGACATTCATTCATTTTGTGGCTGAACAGAGCAAGAACAACATTCACCAAACTGCTGACAAGCATCTGCAACACTTTCTCCAAATACAAGTTTTCAACTATTGAGACTTTGAAATGGAAAACAGTTCCAAAGTTTGTCTTTGCAGAAAGAAGACTTCACCTCTCCTGCTTACCTCGCTCTACTATATATTAAAGCCAAATGTGATGATATACAAAATACTCATGTACCTTGTAATCTGAATTCTCTGAAGAAAGTCTGTATGCTCAATGTATTCAACACTCTTGAGGATGACTGTTCCTTTGAAGAAATTCTCAAAGGGACCGCAGATCAAGTATGTTTTGTTTAAGACCCCATGATGGTCTTCCAGCCAATTACTGTACAAGACAAGCAATGCAAGGTAAAATAGGACAGACAGAGCATTGATCTGATAATGTAGAGGAGCTGCAGTGCTGGAATTACTGGAAGCACCACTACCAAGAACCCGTAAGGTGGCTCTGCCATTACTTTAGCTCTTGGCATAGTTTTTGCAGTCTGGATAAAGGAACAAGTAATATATTCATATATAATTATACTGCTGTAACTGTCTTCAGGGTGATTGAAGCCTGCTAGTCATTTATACGCATACACCTTACAAAGAATTAACAGATTAATTTGAATAGACAGAAGAAAACTACTGTGGCAACTAAGGCAGCACATTTGCACCTAAGCATGTTTTGCATTCTCTGTAGAGAAGCTTTTAATAGCATCTGTATGTACTTTGTCTGTGCTGCCTCCTACCAATATCCTATTTAGTCACTGACAACTTGCTGGAAAAATCTGAAAGGAGACATTATTTTTTTTTTAGTTATGTAAAGTTTTGGTAATTACAGCACCTTATATTGTAAGTTTAAAGTCTTCAGATGCTTCTTTAGGTTTAGAAATAACCTGAACAATTAACATATTCTTGCAAAATGATATATACAAACCCCTTCATCTTCAAAAACTACTTGGGTCCTATTACTTATTCCTCAGCTACAGACTATCCCAATCTGACATGACAATTTCCACGAAGATTAGATGCCATGAAGGACAGCAGGTTTTACAAATAGCATGTGGTAAAAAGAAGCAGGCAGACAAAGAAGCCGCAAAGGCTCTTTTCAAGAAAGCATTCTTGAAGCTATTAAAAGATTTAGCTGTGGTCCAAAACATGAGGTTGGGAGCTAGCCATCTACTGTTCTGATTCCGGCTCCAGCTCCTATGCTGTTGTAAAACCATTTCCCTATCTCACTTTCCTTTACCAATTTGTTTGGCTTGACTAACTTAAAAGCAATGAAATCTTTGTAGTACATGGTCAGTTCAGAGGTGCTTACCAGTGACCCAGTTTAACACTATTTCTCCACTTGTCTTTCACAGTTAACAACTATTACCAGCACCCATGTATTTCTTATTTATTCATTTATTCAAACCAACAGCAGGCAGTGGTCCTCCAGACCTCCAGAGCCCCACTTGTAATTTCACAGAATCCAAACAGAAGTTTTTCAGTCAAAGCCCTTAAACAAAGAAAAAAATTTTGTCATGCTATCACTAATCAGCTCCTTAGCTCACCCAATTGAACTTTTGCCAACTTTGTCCACAGAAAATGTCTACAAAGTAATATTATTTATAAAGTCTTAAGGCAATCTAAAAAATGCATGCATGGGAAAATGCACGCTGCAGAAAATAAATAGAAAAGCACTTTCATGCAGAAATCATCCTATGAGATGCTTATTTTAACTCAAAGTTGACTTAGATGCTTAAAAAGCCAGTAACACTTTCATGAGACCTGTAGCTGAGAAATCATTTGAGATCTGACAACAGGGTTCTGGCTATCCAGCTGTTATATCCATCACTTATGAAAAGCGCTAAAGCTTATAAAGAAAGTGGACATACAGAGACTTCTTGGAAACGAGACACCTATCAAACACCAAAACCACTAACCTTCTCGTGAAAATGCCTAGGAATTCTGGTACTTCTTGGCACCGAATCAGCAGGATATAGCTCAACATGCATTTTAAGCAACATGAGAACAAAAACAATCTTTTGAGTTTATTTTTTTTTTGCCATATTTGTTCCTAATCTGGTTTGTCTTTCAGCTCAAATAAATCTTGCTGGCATAATGGCAGGAGAACAGTGTGGAATGGAAGTTACTTCCATTCTCCTGGCTTGAACAAATACCACACTGTAGCCGCTAGAAAGAGACAAAAATGCCTGAGTTTAAATACTGCAAACAGAAATCAGTTACACATTCCTTGCTTCCAACTTCATTAAGCAAAACAGATACTGGAAGAAACCCAAAACAAGCAATGCCTAAGTAGATCACAGATTGTTGGCAAATCATCAGCTATAAAAACCTCAAACAATTACTTCCAAGACTACAGCAAGACAGCTTTTTGTGTAGTGTGAAGCTTGCTTAATACCTGTACTGGAGAGCAGGGAGTCAACTCCTGGCTCTTGGTACAGGTCTCTCACATGGACCACTCGGAAGCACTCAAAGCTAGCAGAGACACAGGCTGTTGCCCAGCTGTACTTGCCTCACTCATGATGTCTCTGCAGAGGAACGAACACCAACTGCTGGCATTTAACTCTGTTCTCAGATAATATAAGCAAACCAAATGAAAACTGCTATAACAGAAAAATTCTCAAGTAATTTCTCCAGTGAGCTTTTCCACTGTAAGTTATCCAACAGGTTGGTTGGTCAGATGACACATGTTCAAAAGCCAGTTTTTCCAGCATACACCACCACCACCACCTCGTGGCCAGATGCCTCAAGCTCCGAGAATTCAATATATACTGCAGTTAGAATTCTGAGAGCCTCCAAACTAAATGCTACCAACAGATCCTTAACAAACTATATCAGCATCCTGTGTGAGCTGCTCACAACTTTTCAATTACATGTGAAGAGGGAAAAGTAACCTACATGCAAAATGCACCATTTCAGTTTCAAGGCAGCTTAAAGAGCTATTTACTTCATGCTGTAACTGAAGGAAGCTGCTACCCATAGGCAAATGAGACAGAAGAATCTGTCATTATGACTTTGAATGCCCAGATAGTATAAATTTCCCTTTTTACTTCTATAATGAAACAGGAAAACTAAGACAATAAAGACAAATATGCTGAATTTCTTCTCCTAGTCCATTAAAGTTCACTGATTTTGAAAAATGCCTCCGGCTCCCCAAGATAAAAGGGATTTCAGAAACATTTCCATGTTTACTTTAACTGAGATGCAAATATCGAATTATAATAGAGATGAAAACTGAAAGCACTGTCCCTGCAATAAACCAGGACACAACTGTAAAAGATACAACAGCAAAATATTCTGAAAGCAATGTTTAAAGTGAGGCAAATAACAAAGGACAGACAATGCAAAAAAAAGCAGGTGCCTAGAATAGCTTGACAAAGAACAAAAATCAGTACAAGAAAATAAAGTGTCTTAGACATGACTAAGATGACTTACCTCTAGCTGAAAACTTTTTATGCTGTTATTAGGCTGATCTGCCAAGCAGAATTGTAAACTGGTTTACTGACCCAGAAATTCCAACCATAGAATTACTAATAATTATCAAAGTGTCCACTGAATGTGTTATCTATCAAAGCGATGGAGGCTCTTTTTGGCTTCCCCTTGCTACATGCTTACTGCTAGAAAGACTCACCAACAGTTGTACCATCTTCACCCATAATGCACTTCACAGAGGTGATGATTTGCTCCACAACAGGAGGTGACATTGATGTTGCATACGCAGCACTGTGAGAGTATGTCCTGAGGTAATCAATCAGTTCCTAGCAAAACACAAGAGGCATCAGACATAGCCTTCCCAGCACTCAGAGAAATGCTTCTGTCACATCTTTAATCACAATAAAACAGGGCACCACAAAAAACCTCTTTCAGAATGCCCCATAAGAGAACAGGTATCTCAAGGAATAATTTTACACTACAAGAAACAGCAGGGACATGACAACCCATAATAATGTCACAGGGCAAGAATGTGTGTTGATCAGAGACAAATGTCTATGACAGACTTGTTTAGCTAACACCATCAGCAGTAGATTGCAACAAGGCTTTGCATTATGTTGCATTACTTGAGCTGTGCCCAGGGTGAGTTTCACAAATGGTCATTATAACAGTGTGAATATAAAAAAAATGAAATAGTGGGGAGCAGGATCCATAGGTGTTTATGGATAATGCTCAATACATGTATTTCCTCTCCAAAAAACACCAAACAAGGGAACAGGTCACAAAATCTCTCTCATTCATCTGCACAATATAAATAAAGCAGTAATTGTAATTTAAGAGTGCACAAACCCCAGCCTAATCCTTGTGCATTTCCCACTTAAACACATATCCTATTTTTCTTAGAGGGCAAAAGCAGCTCATACAGGAACAAAGGACCAACACACCTTGCATCTAGGCTGCTTGTTAACTGTAACAAAATCATGCTAAAATATTATAAACATCACTATGAATACCAGAAGAGATCCTGTCTTTTGCTACCATAAAATGAATAATGACAGCTCTGTAGCTATCACAAGCTTCAAATGTATTATAAAAACATGCAGAAGTTTTCTGTTGCTGTCTGCCTAGGGTCAGAGTTAAAGGAAAGGAAGTCGTAAAGGGACTTTGAAATAAACTAGGTAAGAAGATTTAAGGCCTCTTACCACTGAAGCAATCCCTCAATCAGTAGCTAAAAAAGTTGCAAAGGACTTTTAGCTGCTTTACCTTATGCCATGGAGTCAATCCCACTAGCTCACTACCTTTGGAAAAAAGATTTATATGACTTTTTTTTTCTGGGGAAGTTGTTGAATTAATTTTAATCTGTAGTAAACACCCTACAAGGAATATCTCCAAGTTCCATCTCCATTTGGATAGCTGAAAGTAATTATCACAATTAAGGTGTAAAAAATTATTGTCCTGGTAGGAAAATGGTAGAATTTTACCCTCCAATAGAGCTTAGAAATCTGATCTGTGAGATCAGATATTTTATGATATGAGAAAGGTGACACAAGGAATTGTTTACACCATCCCTCTGAGGATTAGAGGTTTGGCAAGGGCAACACTTTCTAGCTGTACTTTCCAAAAGAAAGAGACAGTAGATAAAACAAAAACCAAAACAAACAAACAAACGAACAACAAAAACCCCAAAACTTCAAAGAAACAAATTACAAAAACAAACAAAAACCAAAATAATCAACCAGCCAAAAAAGAAAAAAGGAAAAGTGTCTTTTCAGAAAGCAAAGTGCTTACACCCAGGGAAATCAATTCTACCAGACTAACCTAAGAGGCTTTTCCTCCAAATGGGTTGAAAATCTTAAGCTTTTGGCATTTTTCCTTCAAGTCCATTAAAAGTAACATCAAGAAAACAATTTCCTGGCTCCTAGCCCTTCCTAGAAAGATATTACATCACTACTGTACATTCAGCAAACTCAGATCATCACTGACCATGTGAGAACTACACACACAAGGTGTTACAATGTATTTTACTAAACTAGACTCCTCTGCACTGCTGACTTTCACAGTATTAGACAGCATGTAAAAGTATGAAACAAACAGACAATAGGGTACTTGAGGAATAGATTAAATTTGAAACGCTTAATGAAGAATTCCACCAGCTGCCTGAAATAGACTTTACCACCAGCCATGAGATTCCCAGCTTTTTACCTTCTTGCCCCCAATGTATCCTCCTGCAGCTCCAAAGCTTTTGGTGAATGTTCCCATCATAACATCCACATCTTCAGGATTGAGTCCAAAATACTCCACTACACCCCGGCCACTGGGACCCAGAGCACCTATACTATGAGCTTCATCAAGGTACAGATAGGATTTATACTTCTTCTTAAGGGCAATCACTTCAGGCAAACGGACTATGGATCCCTCCATACTGTTGAGAAACAGAAATTCAGTATAAGTTGATTTAATAGTTGGGACCACCTTATAGAGCCTAAATCACTAAGCTTTCATTTCTTCACTCTTTCAGTAATTACAGACACTTAAAATTTAATAGACCCATCACAGTCTGCAGAGATGCACCCCTCCTCCTTGCACTGGGGCCCAGATCTCTGCTTTCTACCTGCTCAGCATCTCTGGGATGCTGACACACAGACTGAACAGTAGCAGCAACAGGAAGTTAGGGTGCAGGAATGTGTTCAGCGATAATTCATTTATAAAATTATCTCAGTTTTACTTCCACCCTAATGTCAGTATTCTGACTTGACATTAACTTACCTGATGTTTCTAAGAACTGACTAGGCTTTTATTAGTAACACTCCAAAACACCACATTTTGTACTGAAAGTCACTAGGGTTTAAATGCCTAACACAGCTATGGCTACTGCTCCCACTCACTCTTAGCAAAAACGTAAAATCTGAGCAGTTCCATTCACACTAGCATAATCTAGTGAGCCCAGAAGGAATGGAATGGACAAGCAACTTAAGACCTCAGCTCTGATATAAATAATCTTGATTAATGAATTTCTACAAGCTAATAAGGATGTGGGAAGCATTGTGATAACACAAGGTGCAGTTACAGTTCTAGCAACAGAAAGGATGTGAGACATACACAGTGTAATTTAATGAGATGAGACTCATGAAATAACTATGAAGTGACAATATTCATAGCTTGATTTGGCAAAGAAACCCAAACACTAAGCATTTAGATCTCATGTGGAGGGTCTTAGGAATATAAAGAATAGTTTGTACCTGTATATTCCTTCCACCAAGATAAGAATTTTTTTCCAGGGCCTCCGTGTACGAGGTTGCCCATGCACAATAGCATCTTTGAGCAGCTTCTCCAGGCTTTGCATATCTGCACCAGAAATTACTGTTAAATAGTACCAAAACAGCTACTAGCTTGAACTTCGACATGACTAAAGACAGCAATACTCCAGAAAGGCACAAATTGCTCCAGCATGGAGGACAGACCATATGCAAGTCAATAAGCACAGGCTTCATCTACCTACAGGCCCATAGATGAGATTTAAGGAAATAGTTAACTGTACGGGCTGCAATGAAGAATTTCATCATTCTAAACTAAAAGCACAAGTTAGAGCACTAGGCACAAACAAAGAAAGGGGGAGGAGAGAGGAGGGGAGAGAAAAAGGAAGGTATCTCATTCTGATGAAAAGGCAATTTAGGTAGTAAGAATGTCCTTGTGGATAGAAATAGCTCAGAACAGAACAATAGAACAGAGCTAGAACACACCAAGTTCAAGGATAATAAATTAAAGATAAGTAGAAGATAGATCAAAGTGCAGGAAAAGAAGCAGGGCAAGTATACTTTTTTATTTATTTGTTTAAAATTGAAGGGATTGGAAGTGGGAAAAGGAAGCCTCTAAAAAAGGAGAAAAGGAAAAAAAAGAGAACCACCAGTGTTGGAAAGAGGACAATGTTCAGCATATCAGAAACTAGTCAGATGAAACTGTTAGTAGAAACATATTCTGAAATCTTACAAGCTTTGGTTACAAACACTTGATGTGATCCTAAGAGACCTAACTAATGTGAACAAATACATGCATGTGGAATCAGTCCTGAAAAAAAACTCAGAGGAAAGGAGTTAAGATGGGATTAGTCAAAGCATGAATCCAAGTGCTGAGCAAGACACAGGTAAACACTAGGGCGTGGAAAAGAGCACAAATTAATCATGAAAAGAGAACTGATAGACTAGGGCAGATGCAGTGGCAAGAGGAGCTTGTGAACTAGATTTAGACTAAAAACTAAATGGCAAAGTAAGTCAGTTAATGGACTGTGAAAAGACAGCTAATGTTCAAAAAGTCAGTGATGGAGAACTCAGCAGTGTAGTCCCTGTCTCCAGCAGGTCTCTCAATGAAGGAAAGGCAAGGTTAGTGTACTTAGGGAGAACAATAGAAAATAGACTTCTACTCTAATCTTTCAAGAAGGAGGGGAACATGAGTCTGAACCTAATTAAAAGGACAAATGACAGAAAAAGGCAGGAAAAAAATAAAAACATTGAACAAGGAATTTAAGGGGAATTTTTCATTCCCCCACCCTTAATTTCTAAAAATTTGAATATGAACAAAGCCATTAACATCTCAAGAAAATGACAATAAAAAGACAGCATAGAGTATAAGAAGAGTAGGACACATACAGAAATACAAACTGAACATCATCTTGACAGGCCAAGACCACTGTTTGCATTTTGCCTTGATTCTAATCTGCCATTACATTCTCTTCCACAGAAACCCACCATCTAGAATGTTTCTAGAATAGCCCACAATTACAGCAGGGCTAGTTTGTAGCCCATTCCCACAAATCATCTATTTTTTATTTAAGTCTAAGGCCCTCTCCCCACAGCCAGAACTATGTTTATCACCAATTTGAAATTCTGCAACTGGATGCAATGTTCAGAAGTATGTCCATACAAATGCAGAAGTTGAATGCAAAGCTTTTGTTACCTTGCTCAGCAACCAAAATTTATGAAGAATTAAAAAGAAAAAATAAATGTTCCAATAAACTCTACTTTTTTGTAAAACTAATTATTCAAATGATAGAAAACAAGAAAGAGTGAACACCAAAGAAACTGTAAGCACAGAAGAGAGAATCCACACTATCAAGTAGGACAAAGAAAGAAAAATAACTGCAGTCACCCAAATTTTGTTGTTACCACCACACACTTCAAAGAGAGCAAGAGTCACTGTGATCTCAGAAACTGACAGTATAAAGAGTATTAGGAGTACCTGAAGAATGAAGGTAGTTCTTACTAATAAAGGACAACTGTGGACCTAATTTTTCTGAGCCTGAGAGAGTTACAGCCTGTCAGTGGCTGATCTGTTCCCAAGGGAAAGTCTCTTGAGAGTATCTCTCGCTCAAGGACTATCTTTGTAAACAATTTCATTTTCTCAAAACAGCTCTGTACAGCTGTGGTTTTTCTCTTGTCCCACCAATAGGACAGAGAGGTGGTGGTCCCTTTACCAATCATGTTAAACCTGTACTGTAATACCCTATAAAAAGCTGAGAAGTTCAGATAATAAAGGCTTTTCTGACCATCTCATTCGGGTGCTGTGACTGAATCCACCGTTCTACTTTGTGTACAACAGCAACAGACAACCATGTGCCTCTTTCATCAAGAGTAAGAGAAGGAAATCCTAAGTAGTTTTAACCTGAAAGTTATTATAGATACGTCCTTTGGAGGAAGATGAAACTAGGAAATTTAAAAATCTGTGTATTTTGTTAATACTTAAATACTTAGAGCAAGTAATTCATTGAACTTAATCTATGCTTCATGTCCCAAAAATTCTTTTAGTACTACATTGTGCAAATTCATTACTATCTATTTTAGCTAGGACATCTACAATCATAAGCATGTTAGCATCTAGTTCTAAAATTACACGTTCCTATCCCCCAAATTGTAACCTAGACCCCTTTAAGATGGCATCATTATGTGACACACTGTTAGAATTGTCTAACCATGCTGAGCTACTCTAGCATAGAATAAGAATAGAATAAGAAACCATGTTAAAATACCAGTGCCCCTAGACTTGCCAAAGGGATAGCACGTTCTTCTCCACATGCAGAAGATGTAGGCCAGAACAGCTTCAGGATAAAAGTGTTATTAGTTGTGACTGAACATATTAAAAAAATATGATTTGGGATGATTCAGCTTTCAGCAGCAGCAGTCTTCTGACCTTTCACATAACTCGCAACTGATTTCCTTGCATGAAATTGGATTTCCAGATATTACAAGACAGAAAACATTGTATCTGATCTACAGCATCTGCAGAAAGGCAGAGTCCACCCTCTGATACTTACTGTTGTGCTTAAAGATTCGAATAGTTGCTCCTGACAGTCTTGCTCCAAGAACTAGTGATGCATGATTCAGTTCATCACTCAGAATCAGACAGCCCTGAATTAGAAGGGGAAAGAGGAAGATATTGAAAAGGTTATGTTTCACAACCAAGCATGGAACACCTTTCAGCTCTGAAGTGGTTCAAGATCATTTAAGGAAAAAAAATAATTCTAAAATGAATGCAGCTAGTCCAGGCAAGACTTGCTAAGATCCAATTTGCAGCCTTAGTATGGCAAATAAAAATACACAACTGCTCTTAACTGATAGAGCCACTCAATTTTCACTTTTCCTGGAAGTCGTGCAGCTGAATCTGCCTGACTATCTCATGCTGTTGATGAGTACTCATCCTTCTATGGAGTCAGGTAAAACAGGGAGCAGAGCAGCTTGCCACAGTTCACTCAGCAAGGGCTGCTAAGAAACAGGACACAGAAGACCTAGGTTAAAGGCTTTATCAAAGTTGCACTATTACTTTCATTAGGAGGCTACCACTGACTAGACCATGTGTGGAGGTAATATACAAGAGACAGAAAGTGGAAAACAGAACTGCATCGTGAAATGAAGAAGTTTTCTGAAGCCATTAAACATGATATTGAATTAATCTGCTTTTTCAAAAAAAACCCAGAAGATAAATCCTTGGACAAACATTAAAACAGAATATGTATGTTTTGAGAGCAGTCATGACTACAGTTCAATAACTGATATGCTGAACATTCAATCACAGCATTATGGCTGTGGACTACAGGAATGTATTTATATTGGGGGATTAATATATAAGGGAGCAACAATATTTCTAAATAACTTTGGCCCACTCCAATTACTATACAAACATGCTGCAACTTTAGAAGTGACTTTGCTCAGTTAAAAATCTAGAAAGACCGTCAAGATTATGAAGATCTAACACTGAAACATGCTCATTCTCTAATAATGATGGAGGGAAGAATCAAGAGGCTTTCTTCTCTGCAATGGGAATTGCTAGAAAGGACTGTAAAAAGCATTGCCTTATTTATACAAGGAATTTCACAGACAACCAGAGAACTTTCACCAGAACAAAGGAAACTGCACTAGACTGTGATTCACCTAGAAACATTCTACATTCTGAGAAAGCTAGAGACTGGTTTTCCCCAGAAACTGCAACAAATGCCATGTGTTCATAGTGCTGCTACAAACATTCACATTACATGTTTCATAGACTTTGGCATATGAAGTATGGAAATTTCCAACTAGTGTTTGCTCTTTGGAACAACTATACCAGACAGAGCATGTATACATCCCAGGGCATTGCTATTAAACACTACTGTATCAAAAAAAGTGAACATAATAATCCAGTACTAGTATCCTTGAACAGCAGAAAGCAGGAAAAGTGATAGATTGAAAAAAAAAAAAAAAAAAGAAAGAAAAAAAACAAAAAAAAAAGAGATTAATTGCCTAGGAAAAGATTGCTTACCACCACATCCTGTAAGGCTAATTGAACGCCACATTTTACTACAGAGTGCTATGTACATGAATTGTGTAACTTAGTCCTGAGCACTTAATTTTGCAACTCACCTATATATGGAAATTAATTTGCTTTCTTACAACCAAAAAAATATCCTTCAAGCATCATTGTTCTAACTCAATTGTCTAGTCTTTCTCAATCCAGATCTATGATGAAAAGCTTTGTGCTAAAGGCAGTACAGAATGGTGTTATTACCTAGTTATACTAACTACATTAATGATGCTTAATTCAAAACAGGCAAGTTTGAGGGTCTAGCTTAGCCTCAAATGGTCTAACAACTTCTGACTAAGTAACCCTCAAATTTCACATTATCTGTGGTCTAGACTTAGCATACTTGGCAGTGACTGTAGCAGGCACACAACAACTTGGCTGTGAACAGGGGACCTCTACTGCTGAAAACTGCCAGGTGCAGAAAGACCTGTTTTTAGTGATGCTTTTAGCAGTGCTGAAATACAATTTTCAGTCTACACCAACTATACCTATTTTCAGCATCTGCTTAGTAGAGGCTGCTGTTAACAAAGCATAGTGAATAAAGATCAACTAAATAATGAAGTTTTTGAATTCCCTTTTGCTGACTAATGCTGATCAAATTATGACATAGAGATGGATCTAAAATAGTCAAACTGCATATGTTTCTATTTAAAAGAGGATTCAGTAGGAACACAAACTAAGTGCTTCAGGATTCCACAGAGCAGAAAAAGAACAGGTGGTCCAGTATATGTGAGCGACTATACTCAGTAGCTTGTTTTTGGTTTTTAAACTACTTGTTTAAGTAGTAATACAGAAGCCCAGATACCATTAACTTTGAAGATATCTTGTGTTCCAAGCAGCTTTGCAGTTGAAAATGTAAGCAGAACATGCAAAAAGACACAAACAGTCATTAAAAAAAAAAAACTAAAAAAAAGCCCAAGAGTTTAATCAAGCATAAGAATGTCTGAGCTTTACTGAGGACTATCAAAGCATTGCCAAACAGGCTGTGCACACACAATTAATTGTGTAATGGGTGGTGCCAAAATTCAGGATTTGTGTGTCCTTATTTGCAGACAATGAAGAAATCAAATATGCAGTGAGAAGCAACTTCAGGCAGCCAAAAAAAACATTTAGTGAACATTCTGAACTGCAAAATGGTTCATTTGACAAGAACTCTTTTCTTCACCAGAGTACAATTTCTGTTTGGAGTATTCACCTGAGTATAAGAGCACTTGTATTGTTATGAGGCAAAAGCTTCTTACTACTTTATTTCAATGTACAAGAAACTAAGTATCCTCACGACTAACCCAGTACTGACCGCTGTATCCATTTATGACAAGAGCTGGCTTACTAAAGTGAGCCGCATAAAAACAGGTATGTTACATGCCTTGAAATTTACTGGTCAGATTCTCTCAATGGTTATAAAACCTGCTGAAGTTTAAAGGTGAAAACTCAGGATCTGAATAAGGTGGCTCAAGGGTATTCTCATGAGACATTGAAGATACACAGTGGGCTCCACACTGAAAAAAAGATTGAGTAGGTTTGCTAAGGAATGAGTAACTTGTAGTGAGAACAACCAGCAATCTACTTAAATGTATCTGATAGTGTACTGAATCTGAAAGGTGTCACAGAAATCATGAATCATTTTTCTTTGAACCTAAGACTGGAGAGATGTGGAAAGACAAAGAGCAAAAAAATGCAGGTAAAAGATATGTCAGAAGTAACATATGTTGCTCAGCTTCACAGCATTGCAGAAGTATCTGACTCCATAAAGACTAGATTTGAAGCACTGGATTTCTCTCCAGCATCAGACTGAAAAATGTTGGGTTTTTTATTATGCAAATAATTTGATAGTTAAAACTTAACAGACCAAAATAAAAGGCATATTATGTAGACAGTGCTACGTCCTTGTTACAAAAAAGAGAAAAAAATAGCATGCAGGAAGACACTGCAGCTAATCTGAAGGAGAATCACCAGGAAGAAAAGCTGCCAGGAAGAACAAGGCAGCAAATTTATGATCTGTAGATATCGCAAATGGAAGACTTACAAAGTAATCTCAGGAAGTGAAAAAATAAATAAATTAAATAAAAGGAAAATAATTCACTACACAGTGTCAAAGAATTCCAATAGATTAGCAATATTAGGTTGACAATGAATCATTTTCAAAAAAAAAAAAGACCTGTTCCAGTACTTGCACTATTTTACTCTATGGAGGAGCTAAGAGAACATGTATTTTGCATCAGTAGAGGCAAAGAAAAATTTCACCTTTATTTCATTTTCCAATAACTAAAATAGCATAGCTGGAGATACTGGACACTCAGACTAATTATCTACTGTTTTATGCAGCACATAGTAAACATCATGAGTCTTCACAGTTGACCTTATCTCCCTCAAACATCATTCTACTTCAACAAAGGAGGGATTTTCTTAGTTGTCACTCAAAGATAATAAATTCTTTATGTACCAACATACAATTCAGCTTATCTGTGCAACTGACAGAGTTGGTTCTTAGTGTCTTAAAAGCATCAAAATACCTCCAGCCAACCAGTCTGTTAATCAGCCACCATTTCACACACCAAGAAGTAGCCTGAGGAAGTAAGCCTTAACATGCTAAGCTTTCTCCCAGAGAAAGTTCTGGGCTGCTACTTGTCCCATGGATGCTGTTTCCCAAAGAGATTTTTGCAATGGTTAGAGATGCATACTGTGACCTACAGTTTCCATAGAGAATATCTGCAGGGGCTTCCACTGAGGAAAAACAAAAGCAAACAAGTAGCTTTTAGAAAAATTAACCACCAGAATCTTTGTTAGGTGGCCTTCTGTCCATGACTTAAGCCATACCTTGCCAACTAAAGCAGGAATGTTCATAGAGTTGGTTGCAAATCCCATTCCATATGCCATTGCAGATTCCACCCCTAGGAACCTGGCAACTAGCTTTTCCAGCTCCTCATGCTTGTCCAAGTTTCCTGTACATAAAACAAATGGGAAATCTGAGTAAGGAGAAGCTTTCACTATTGCTAAATTCTACAAAGAGCATTTCCACCAACCAAACTGTGCTTTATTTAAAGGCCCATAAGAGAACACTGAAAAAACCCATTTATGAAAACATAAGTAAGACAACTGCTGTGCAATGTAAACTAAATCCAGGAATTCAATTTGTCTTCATTAAAGTAAAAGCTGCTTTATCAGTTAAGACTAAAGTTCAATGCTGAAACAATTAATGTTTCAAAGACCTGTAATCAGATACAGACTTTGAAATACACATTCAGGAAACATACTATCATCCTCCAACTTACCCATCTCCTGCCTAGTGCTGCACACCCCAGCTCCATACTGGGACAGAACTTTAGCAGCTGCTTCTTGGCAAGCCCCAGTCTTCTGTGCAAACCCAAGGTAGTTGTAAGAACCCATATTTATGATGTCTTTTATTACTCTCCCTGTGTATCTGCATTTTAAAAACAGCACAAGTTAGGACACCCAAAATTAAAAAAATTATCTACACCAGAAGATTATTATTTCACTTTCCTAGACTAGACACTGAAATGTTAGAACTCAATAGAACCATTAAATTATTTCAGCAGTGCCTCTCACCATCAAACTGCAACAATCAGTGAAAAAGATTCTCTCCCTATCTTACAATCTCAAATCAATTCCCAGAAAAGTTTACATTTACAGGTGAATTTGCTATCACACATAAAATTGCTTGAGGCTTCACAAACTATCTGTTGCTCTGACACATTTCTCCCTCTATCCCAGAAACATACAACTTTTCTTTCAATTACAAAATAACATCTCTAGATCAATTAACTTGGCAGCCCCTCAAGCGGGATATCCTCTAACCACAGAAAGGAAACACATCTGGCACTTCTGTGCTAACAATACGTGACAACAAGAATAAGAAGCTTAGCAGAAAAAAAATAATTCTTTTGCCCTTGAAAGCCAAGAAGAGACACAACCAGTTTCACCAAGGACTGTGCTGCAAACCTCTTCACATCAAAAATGTGTCTGACTTGATATGTCATTTCCAATTTGTAAAAATCCTTTATTGTATTTCTCATTTTGTTTCTACGGATTACTTCAGTTCTGACTCAAAACAATCATGTTAAATTCAGTTCAGGCAGCAGCATTTATTTCAAGTGGCAGAACTACTTCTAAATCAACACAAAGTCACAAGCAGCAGTGCAGCCCAAAGTATCCACACCAAGTTCTTGTCATCACGCACAAAGGTATTAATTTTATTACAGGTGTATACCCAGGAAATCTTAATACAAAAGATCATATACAAATCATCACCTTGGGGCCTAAATGCATTTCAAAAGAGCAAAATTCATTGATTCAAGCTGCAAGAAAGCTCAAACTTTCATAACAAAGCTCACAATTCACTGTTCCTTTAACCTCACAGCCTGCAACTTGCTCTTAGAGACCGTATATTTCAAGACAGGTTTTGGGAGTGTTTTCTTCAATTTTGACTCACGTGAATGTCCAGTTATAATCATGGGAAACTCTCTCCATCATGTCCACTTTGGCCCCTGGCACACTACAGATTGGACGGTTCCAGCTGTCCCGAATGCGCATGTAGAGGTTTCTGTTGTAGAAATTTTCAAAGTCCTGGTACAATGGGACAAAGTCCTGAAACACATCAAAAGCACTCAAAGTAAAAGGAAAATATATATGACAATAAAATTACACTAAGAGGAATAATTATTTTCTGTCATTCTGGTGTAATGAAAAACTCAAGAAAACACAAAACCTAAAATAACTCCATTAAATTCTGGGCACATAATCTTTGCAGGAGAGGTATAGCCAGCCTTTGAGTCAAGCAGAGCAAGGGAACATGCAATGCCTTTTTGGCACCAAACAATATGCACTGCTGTACTGAGCACACAGACTTTGAAAACTAAGGTGCTCTACCATATTCTATTCTGTGCATAAGAAATGCATTTAATATAGCACCACTAGCATTATTTTACATTACCATTACATTTTACCATTACATTACATTACAACCTTCCACAATTTTTTGTTTTCAATAGAAGCTAATAAGCTACATTATGGTACCTCTCTTCTGCACAGCTTGAAGTCCCACATGATTTTTATGAATGAGCCTTTCCTGAATTTTAGCTTCCCTTCCAATGTTTTCCAGGAAAACTAAGTGACTGACTTGAATGGATAACACAAGAATGTCATACTAACTGTGGAAGCAAGGACATCTGAGCACTCAAGAACATTTTTTTCTTGCTCCACAGTCACAAGATTTCCTTTTTACTATTTAATTATGAAAGTTTGACATTTAGTAGAGATAAGAATGCACAATTCATTGTTGGAAAAGTAAAAAAAAGCACCTTTTTAATCATGTACAGAAGGAAAAGTAGCATTTATTATGAAGGTAAGAGCCAGCAGAGCATTTCTTCCTGTTTTTCACAAGAAAAATGCAAATACTGTGACAGGAATTTTATTTTTGGTGACAGTATGAGAAAGGCAGAGTATCTCACCAAGTCCTATAGTGTCAGACATTTGTACCTCTGAAGCAAGGCTGGGAGCGTTTATGGCAGATTTTTAATAAAAACACACACAAGCACTTAGAAGCTCTTACTTACAATGCTTGCCTGCAAGAGGCGTACTTTTTTCATTACCCTTCTTTTTTAATGATTTAACAACTTTGTCCTTGCAGTTTGGAGTAGAGGAACATTTAGGTTCACACCTTTGCATCCTCCTTCCGGCAGCTGCACAGAAAAGACCAAGCCCAAAAATGCCAATTGCTAAGCAGATACAGTTGCACCTAAACCAATTTCTGATTTGCTTCCACCAAAAAGGCAGAAAGATATTAATTTCCATCATTTCAGCTATGGAAAAACAACCCAAATTTAGCTGGCAATTACTATTTCAGAGAATCACAAATATGTCCTTTCTCAAAGACAGACAGTTGGAGTAGAATTTCTAGGTCCTAAGATGCACAGAAGGGCAATTAATTCTTCCATGTTCCCATCCCAACTCATGACACAAGATCAAAATAATTGTTTCAAACGCTCAGCTATGTTACTTGTAGAGGGGTGGGGGACACGAGATCAAAAAGAAACCTTGGCACATTAGAAGAGCAATACTTCAGATACTTGTTAAATCTAATTATAATCTTCTGACATGCTTCTAAGTACTTTCAATTCCTCTTAACCATCTACACACAAGAGTTCAGCTTTGCAATAGTTATCTAAGCACACCAACTGTGTGAGCAGAGAAACAACTGACATTTTAGCCAAGGCTCATGGCTAGGAGGGGGAGGCTGGAAATGAATCATTATACCAACTCAAGCAGGTATGCCTGGGTTGATACAGCCCAATCCCACTTCAGATCACTCATGAGATGAGCTTTCTTTTGAAACCCAAGCTGACAAAGCCAGAACAGTAACAAGCTCAACTGGTGAGATAAGAACAATCACCCACAACAGGTTGGCACCACCAGTATATGTAACATAAGCATTATCTTAAAAGCCAGCATTAGAACAAAGTTTAAAGTTACTGTGAAGTAGAGAAGTTCTCTTAACCTACTGGATTATGATAAAGAAAAGATATTTTAAAAGTCCACAAGAATTCAAGGGATAAATTATGGGTAAGGAAATTAGGGTTTAATATGGGACACTAGCTTTAGTATTTCAGAGTATCAATTTGTAGGATTATAGTAAAGGGCATTAAGTGTAGGTATCAGCATACTGTCAACTCCTTTGTTATCTATACATGTACCACTCCCTCCAACCCACCCTCAGATAGGTCTCATGAGAAAGTTCCTTGGAAGAGGACAAGCAGGAAGTGTTATTTTGGCATAATGCAAAAATGGATTGTCTATTTCCTCAGTGATCCTAACCCCACTGAGGGGTTCTCATGAGCCATGCATCTGAGAACTAAAAAAAACAAAGGGTAAGGATATTATGCCTTTATAAACTGATATGGACTTTTGGAGTTTCAGAGCCCTCTTTTGGAGGGCATACGGGAGCAGATGGTCTGCTGGTTGGTTTGAGGGTTGGTTTGTTTGTTCACCTCCATCCTTCTGCAGTGGGGCATTCCAGATGAAGAATAGATAATACAACAAAAAGACCACTTGAATTTCTCAGGCTAATTTAGTATTTTCAATCTTCAAATACAAAAAAAAAATCTTCAATTCCAATCCTCAATCATAAAACCCAACAAAAAACAAAACAAAACAAAAAACACCAAAAACAAACAAACAAAAAAAAAACACCTGGGGAGGAAAGGACAAATGAACTCTATCAATCCATACTTTTCACCCTGTGGGTGTTCACCCAGAGGGCACTGGAAGAGGCTCCCAAGGGGAAGTAGTCACAGCACCAAGCCTGACAGAGATCAAGAAGTTTGGAAACCCTCTCAGGTGCATGGTGAGACTCTTTGGGATATCCTGTGCAGACCTAAGAGCTGGACTTCCATGTCCTTGTGGGTGCCTTACAACTTAGCATATTCCATGATTTCAAATTTTTGATACATGCAACCACAGCACTCTGCTGCAACAGCACCCTAGAGCTTGAAGCAACCACTATTACTTAAACAGCCTTCAGATCTGGTTATTTTTCTATCAGGTTGTCATCTTACTTCAGATCCAATGCTCTTCCTAGCTGTTACGGTCCCTAAGAATATGAGTCTGAGATGAAACAGTTTCATTCAGAGGAGAAATATTCTAGGAGCTGCTTCTTCGAGCAATCTTCTGAGTAAAAAGAGTCAAACTGCAACAGTGGACCCAAAAGAGGGAGCAAAAGCAGTAAGTTCTTTCATTTATGGAGCTAAAAAAAATCCTCAACAGCTTTATTCCTGTCAATTTCAGCCTAGAACACAGTCCCTATTAATGGGGGAATGCTTAATTAAAAAAAACGAAGTACTAGTGGTGTCCTAGAAGAAAAGCATATCAATTTCATTGAAAAGCAAAGCCAATGAAGGGAAGAATAAAATTCTCCCTTGGGGTGCAATATCTTAGCATAGGTGATTTGGGAATCCATTATTTCATCATACTCCAAATTAATATTGCAACAAGTGAAGGTCATAATGAGAGCTTTGTAGCCCTTAGCCCAGGGCACAGGGACATGCAAATACAGTGATTATGCTACTTTTAGAGCCAAGTTTTCACAGCATTGCACCTAAGCTAACAAATGGTGCCATGAGCACCAGCAGGGTTTATCTGCAACTCGCATAATATGCTCTCTGATAACACATAACTGACTCTGAACAGAGCAACAAATTTCAGGCTTCTAAAACGAAGCAGAAAGACTAGTTTCATCTCGCTGTTACGTGAGTCAAGGAAAGTGGAGCAATAACTGTGGGTAGCCTTTGTATCATCAGGAGGCCTCTGATGAGCTACACAGATGCTAAGACATCAAACAAACGATTCCAGTTTACTGCCCCTGAAATACTCCTACAGCTGGACTCCTGTGAACATTTGTTTGAAAACCCTGGATGCTAGAAACAAACTCTATCTGGGCAAGCTACAGATCACGAAGCAGTATATTAGAGAGTTAGCAGCCCCATTTAAAGTCACTCCCAAACACAAAACATGTAAGGTAATCAACAGGCAAATCAGACTGGAGGAAAGGTAAAAGTGATTTTCATCCAGCCTGTAAAATCCTGGAAGCATTTTGCATATTTAACTGTATTGTATGACAGCACATTAAATTGAGTATGCATAAATTGATCCCAGGGTAATTGAGAATTGTTAATCTTACCATTTACCCATGCCTAAAACAGACCAGTAATGCTTCAGAGAGGATGTGCTGCACAACACTGGTCTCCAGGAAAAGCTCAGCTGGATATATTTTAAACAAAGCCAAAACCCATGAAACTATTTCCTGGAAGTCAGTACTAGCAAAGTCTGTCCCTTTTCACCCTTTTGTGTTTCAAGAGAGAGTGACCATTAGGTTTTTCTGGAATCATTCATATCAATGCATGGCTCTAATAAATTCCAAGGAATTTACCTGCCATCAGAAACAGTTAGAATTCAAAGCTGTTCAAAGTCCTGCTCTGCTCTTTAAATTAGTTTGGTCATCTCCAATTTTCAAGTTATGATGCAGTATAAGACTATACTATTAAATGACAATATAAGGAAGGACTTACTCTACTGAAATAAACTACCCTCTATAACACAGAAAAACTGAGTCTTTTCCTTATGTTTGTTTTTAATACTATTTTGGACCTAAGTTTATGTTAAGCTTTTAAATGTAATCACCTTCAGAAACAAACCACAGAAAATCCACATACTTCAATTCTGTGATTTTCAGAAAAGGTTCATTCAGCCCTTTACAAAATACTTCCTCACACTATGTAATTTTATAATTTTTCACCTATGCAATTACAAACCATTTCAAAAAGGTAATGCTAATCATTTTGCTTGATGCTTTAGAAAATTATAAAAACCTGGTTGGCTCTTCAGAATTTCAATAAAAAAAAATTCAATAATAAAAATGTTACCACACAGAGGAAAGATTTCCACAAATCTGCCAGAAAGTACCCCAGTGTAAGCACAGGGGTCCTCTGATTAGCATGTATTAATAATAATAAAAAGGTGAGTTTTGAGCCTTTTCTGCACACTAGTACCTGCATTCCCTTACCAAAAGGTGACTGAGCTGTCATCCAGCAGAGAGACTCAAATATTGGGGAAAATAATTTCAAAACAAGTAATTGAGCACACACCTCCACCTCCTACACCAAAATAACCCCTAGCTCCCACATGCTAGACATGCTGCAATGTGCTCTCATCAATTCATTTGCAAGCAAACAAAGCTTACAGCAGCAAAGGGTGAGGATAAGTACTGCATGTTCCAGACCTCACGTGATCACTTTTGTATTTGTCTGATATCAGAAGCAGCTATGACAATCTAAGTGCTAGAGACGTGATTTGGGGAAGTACACTAGGCTGAGATTTCTCCAATGTCAAAACTTCTTTAAACAGGATTTCCTATTTTCATTCTTACGCAATATTCACTGGCACTTCTTATTAGCTCCATCCACAGACATCCTACATAGAAAACAAAACCAGAATACGTGCATCTCATCATGGAAGCCGTAACCAACACAGAAACTGAGAGTTTCAATTCAGCAGTCCAGAAGGACATTTAGTTGTTAAGCAAATGTCTTTCAGGGTAAGACACAATGCTGAGTGAATTATAAAAAAATTCAAGGCTACATTTCTTTTAGGACTAGGATAATCTGTTCCTAACAACCTCTGTGCTTCAAGGTCCTCCTGTGGTAACCTTTACTGAGAGCCTAATACCAATAATGTGTTACTATCATAACTATGTGAATTAGACCTATTGCCCCCTTTTTTACACTCAATCATGTAAGAGTCATGACTGCTCCCACAGAAAAGGGCTGCTGTAAGCAGTTTTTACACACTGATAACAGGACAAACCTTTCAGAACTGTGCAACAGAAATGTAACAATTACAGTATAGAATAACTGCACCAACACTTCAGTTACTCCTTTATAATCCTCAACACCATGAATACATACCAATATTTAAACTTTTATTCTAATGTCTTGGTAGTTTTTGGCAACTGTTTTGACTGCTCTCTGATGTATCAACTTCTATTTTACACACAGAAAAATACAACATTATGTCATGCTCTCAAATGTCATAAACCAAAGTAGCTCAAAAGACATTAATGAACACACCAAGTTTCAAGTTGAGATTTAACCAGCATTCTTTAATCAGATATTTTAACTATTAAAAGGGATCCAAGATTTTTACTTTCATATTCTAAAAGTCAGTTTTGGCAATAGTTTAAACTCCTGTACTTTTAACCAATATGAAATGCCTTTTACTCATTTAACTCCTGTAAGAATGCTTCTGTTTTGGAATTTAGTGCCCTACTATGAATCTGTTTAATTCTACCTCAATGTTGACAGAAAGAAGCTACTGTGAGGTAATTTTAGGCACTGGTCCAAAACTAATCTACTGTAAAAAGATGTGCACTTTACTGCAGTGCTGTCTCCAAAAAAAGTCTCCAAAGGAGCCTCCCTTTTTTAGTACCTCCCTGCCACCCTTGATTATTTGTTTGCCTTACTGAGATGTCCTTTCTGCCCCTCCCTATTTCCTGCTAGCCAACTGCTTGTGTGGCTGCACAGAGAACCAGAAACCAGCAACTGAAAAAGGAACTCCCTTAACATTTTATAAGCCACTCTGGCTCTCCAAAGCAGTTGAGAAAAACAAATCAGAGAACCCAAATCAGCAAGAGAAAGACCTTTGGAGAAAGCTCACTGGTAGTCACACTCTTCTAAGAGGGCTCACATTTACAGTTAGCAAGAAAATAGTTTGTGAACTTCATGTTTCAAAGTAGCTTCCTAAAAACAATTAACTCCTGTGGGGAATAAAGATCTCTAATTTTTCTAAAATTATCTACAAGTATTGAAAATGAGAATTATCCATTCAAGGCTAACTGCTGAAGCAGGCAATACCTTTCACCTGGTAACAGAAGCTTTTGTGAATAGGTCTTAATATGAATTCTTTCTAATCATTATCAGTGAACCACAAGTCAGTACCTCGAATTACTCACCAGCTCACCTGCTGGTGTTCTGGACTCCAAAAGAATTTAAAGTTACATAGCTTGTGCTCTGGATCTGACCCACAAGTTTCTCTTCGCAATTGCTTCAGATGAAGAGAATTAATAACATTTCTAAACCAAAACTAAGCCACCAGATCAGCATCAGAAAGCCTCCCACTGGTGTCCAGCTAAAACCAGAGCCTTTCTTGAGGTCCTGATGCTGGAACATGCAGTCTCTTCTTGCCCAAACCCTTGTTTCTGCAGCTGGGGAATCTTTCAGTACACTGATATAATTGTTGATGCAGCTTTGCACTGAGACAGATGAGGAAACTACTCTGAGGAAAAAACTCAAAAAGAACATTATTTTTTTACAACACAGCAGTACTTTCATAGTATTTGGGGCATCCAAAAGACAAGGAAAACAGCATAAAAACTTGGAACTCCACTTCTCCCCAAAGAAACAATCAAGGCTCAGCCACATCATTTCCCACCAAACATTATTTCCCAGCGGTTACCTTCTGTTCTTCTCTTTCTGTTGCATTTTGACACTTCTCAATCTTCCACTGCCGCATGAAATCTCGCAGATATCCAAAGAGAGTGAGAACACCATAGCCTACATAGGTCAGCACAGCAACCAGCATTGGTGTTTCTTCAAAAGCTTCATTGAAAGGCCTTTTGTATAATCCTCCATTGTGCACAATATGATTTATCTATAGTACAAATGTAAAGAGAGGCAGTTGAGGTATTAATTGAAGAAAAGGCAGACAGACATTTCAGAGTAGTCCCCAGCCCTGTGGTCAGTTACAGGCTCTGCATCCCCTACCACTCTGCAAAAACTGCTTCTAGCTAAGTTCAGCCATTACTGATAAATACTGCCAGCCTCCATATATGAAGTTGCCAAGTTGCTGATATAACCCAAGTAACAGTTACCAATCTATGGCAGTTTAATCTAACATCTCATTAAAACTATTCAGTTTGCAAAGCTACACATAGAGCATTGCTTACATCTAGGCAAACCAAAATGGAAAGAGTGCCTTCACCAAGAGGGCACAAATAACAGAACAGTGATGCATCCCAGAGAAAAACAAAACAGAAAATAAGAGTTTTATTGATCTAAACAATATATTCTCAGACTTGGAAGCCTATATAACAAAACAATCATAATCCATGTGCCTCTATAGCTGTTAGCCTAAAGATGCAGACATAAACACTGTACTCATCCATGAGGCGGACATGACACCACAGACAAAAAAGTCATTGTATATAGAGTCTCAACACAGCATATGTGTCAGCATACAGAACAAAGCATGGCTTTCTGCATAAAATCCATGCTAAAATTCATCTTGCTACTTCCATGTCATCTGAAGGTAGGAGATTTACTAGCTGCCTAGTGCATACAACTGGTCTATCTCAAGTACAGTTACTGGAATACACAATATTTGCGACTATTACAGAAAAACTCCAGAAGGCAAGTGCTCGCACAGCATTAACACTGGGGGGAAAGACCATGGCTTTAACTAGACTACTTTTTCAAACTGTTAAGTTAAAGATCAGATGTCATAAGTCAATGAACAAAAACATAGAAATCTAGCCATTAGATGCAAATTGTTATCTGCATGGCTAAGTTATAGAATGGCTGCATGATAATAAAATAGCTACATATGAAAGAACACTCTACAAAACATAAACCCCCTCTGTGTAGCATCAAATATATATATACATATATATAAAAAATGTATTCCTTACAATGTACAAATCAAAGAAACCTCAACAACAAGGAAAGAGACTGAACCTAAATTCATCAAAAAAAGGCAATGGCAAATAATTCCTGAAGGGTGTGGGTCAGCAGACAGTTATAAATAAATAGACAGAATAAAACCAGTTATTCACCTATGTCACTCATATTATCATATGGGAAAGTAAGGTAGAATCCTACTAATCTCGACAACAGTTGATGAATCAAAAAGGCACACATACTTGCTGGCAGCACCACACACTGAGTTATTCGGAAAGTGATACCTGCTCATCTCAGGTGCTGGAGCAAGTCTGTATTTCAAGTCTGCAGAAATACAGAAGCAAGGATCTGTTCTTAGGGATACAATTATGCTACAGCTATGCAGTCACCAAGTATAAACCACAACGGCACCTTCCCTCCTGATAGTCATTTCTATCTCTTCCCTTCTGCTGACACAGTTTTCAGCAATGCAAATCTTGATTTGGTCACCATAGTTGTGAGGACTTTAGAATAGGTATAAGTATGGAAACAAATAGCAAAGACAGCTCTTTTAGCAGCAGCACTTAAAGCCAGATGCAGGTAACTAACTTGCAGTGCTTTGAGGCCAGGTTTAATACTGCAGTATTATTTTAAGAACATACTGCATACAGTGGTGGCCATGGACTTGCTTACCTCATTGCAGCTAAAGTGCTGGCAATTTAAGGCCTTAATGCAGGCCAAAGGTTCACGCACTGTTCTCTTCATGAACAACGCCATCCAAAGAAACTGTGCCAGCCCCACTCACTCCTGCTTTGAACCATCTGCACCAGCCTCCAGCTTGTACAACTAAATCTGATTATCAGTATAGCATCCCTTCAACACTGAACCGATCCATGTTGAAAATTTAATCGTTTGCAGAAGGTTATTCATTAGACCGCTATAGTCTTTACAGCACCGCTCCACAAAGGCACTTGATGGAGCTCAGCAAACAAGAGGCAGCAGCTTTTGGAGAGAGAGGAGAGGCAGAAGTACCATGACAGTCGCAGAATCAGTGAGCCAACCCTGCAAAGGAAAAACCATGAGAGCCACATCTTCTCTATTACTCTCAGGATTCCTTAGCTCTATCACTATGGCTCCTGTAGGCAAAACTATAGAATTTTGTTGCACCTAGATACAAGAAAGATCATGCACCAAAGCTCTGACCACCACAGTTTCACAGCTTGGGGAATTAGAAGTTGAAGTTTGCATCCTCACATTGTCAGATCAGGCTGTGAATAGCAGCTGTTCAGGAGCAGGCATACTACATACCTGCCATCAGTGCCTGCCTACCAGCAGCTGATTTGAGGATAAGCAGACAGAAAACTGGTAGCAACTACTTCACAAATTACCTAGTACTGAATAACTAGAGATCATATCAAAGCTTCTAATGTCTTCCCCAGGTAACTGGAAGTTCATCTGGAAGAGATGAAAGGCTACATCCTAAGATAATGGATCCAAGGTTACCAAACACCAAAAAGTAGTTACTGAAGAAAAAACAACTAAGAGACCCAAATCTATATGCAAACTTTGTAAGAATAAAAACATACCAATTTTTTTCCAGGTCTTTGTAGGTGCCTGTGCTTGTGACAAATGCTAAAACTAAAAAAGCTATTGAATATGGTCAATCCCAATATTTCACTAAGAAAGGCTGTTTTAGGAATACCTGTATTGATTCAACCCATACTCCAATCAATTTCACCTCTCAGCATTCTTCCACCAATGTGCTAATACATCCTTAAATTTGCATGTCAGCTACCACATCAGCTGACAAACTTGTGTTACCCTAGCTGAATCAAAATTTAAAGAAAAAACTGAATGCAGTTCCACAAACTCTTCATGAAGCATATGACTGTAAAAAAACTCTAGAATTTGACTACAGAAGAGACATTTGTAGTCACATTAAATACAAGCTTATTTGTTTTTCTAAGAATGCCTTATAAATCCATATATTCGCCTTCAAATGAAGGCTTATATGCTGCAAGCTCCAAAGCTGCTACAAAACAACACAAATTTTAGTTCCAGAAACCAAATGGGTACAGTTCTATGCTTAATTTCCTTTTATCACGAGGAGAAAAAAGGCGTGGAAGTTTAAGACTTTTATGATTTTAATAAGCCTTATGCTCATAAAGTGAGCCATGACCTTTGAAGTAGAATATACGGCATATCCAAGTGCAAAGTCAGAGCTCATTTAAATGCATGGTTCAAAAGAAGTATGTGTATGCTCACCTACATGCCTCTTTCCTGTACTGTGCAGAGTACATGTATGCAGAAGAGCACCATCACATTAAGGAACTCAACTGCAGGAGAGTCAGAGAGCACAACTCAGCTGGTTACAGAAGGCAGCAAAGAACCAGCCACAGGTAATGCCTGTGTTGGGGCAAACTCTTGGGAAAACAAATCACATGGAACAGTATTGTAGCAGTTACTGAGCAGCAGCCACGTCACACAACTACTGCCAGAAAGGACTCCACAGGTCTAAGCAAAACACATCAGAGTCTGATGATAATCACAGAATCTACTGAGTTGGACCCACAAGGACCATCGAGTCCAACTCCTGGCCCGGCCCTGCACTGCACAACCCTGAGAGTCACACCATCTGTTTGAGGCAGTTGTAGCTTCTTGAACTCTGTCAAGCTTGGTGCTGCAACCACTTCCCTGGGACATTGTTCCAGTGCCTGACCACCCATTAGGTGAAGAACCTTTTTCTAATATTCAACTAAACCTGCCCCAGAACAGCTTCACGCCTTTCCCTTGGGCCCTGTCACTGGTCACACGATTGAAAAGATCAGTGCCTGCCCCTACCCCTCCCATCAGGAGGAAGCTGTAACTGCTATGAGGTGTGCTCTCTGTCTCCTCCAGGCTGAACAGACCAAGTGACCTCAGTGACTCTTCATAAAGCTTTCCTTCTAGGTTCTTCACCACTTCTGTAGCCCTCCTTTGGATGCTTTCTACATCCTTTGAGTGAGAAGACAAAAGCCATGCACAAACACGGGAGCATTTGCAGATGCTACTGTAGACAACATGCAGGATTGACCACAGGACTCTGGGTACACACCTTGCATTGCAGGCATGTACTTTAGGGAGAGAAGATGCTAAAAGTGCAATTCACGCTGCACACAGTATGAGAGCAGTACAGGGTAACTGCTTATTGCTGCTGCCCTGGGAAAGATCCAGCACTCTGTATTAGAGAGACCATTTCAGTTCATGCTGACAAGAACCACAAATTCAGACGAACCTGGCAGATTTTATGTAAACACATTAAAAAGATTATTTATGCTGGAGGACAACTTTGCTAAATTCTTATTAAAATTTAGTAGCTTCTCACTGCCACATACCACACATGCTGCAGAAATTTTACTAACAGGTTTGCAGCTTCTATTTTTAGAAACACAATGTGAAAGACTGCATCCATGAGTGTGCCTCCGTATGCAAAAGTGGCCACATTTACTACAAAGGATTGAGGAAATCAGCACTACAGAAACCACAGCAGTGAGAATTCCATGAAGGCAGCTGCTCTAAACTGTTAGGTATTCTGTGGTAATTTTACTGTCACCTCTAGCCCTTTTCCTTGCACTGCTTTGCTTAGAATTCAAATCTCAAAGACTGTTGCACGGGTAAAAAGACCAAGTACTTACTACCAAAATTAGAACTAACTGGTTTGAATCACATTTTAAGCTTTAAAAAAACCCCACAGGACATAAACTTGTTTTATACAACAGACATCAAGAGTATATTCCTAATTACAGATTTGTTCTTCCTGACAGGTATTATCAAATATTGCAACTAGTTACTCACAACAAATTTCACAGTCCTTGTTTAAGATGCATTTACCACATGTACAAAAACAGCGTAAATCTTCATAATGTTTAAAAGTTGTTTGGGTTCCTCCCTGCCCCGCATTAGCAAGTAAAGGATGCAGTTAAACCTGGAGTTTTTTGCTTGCTACATACAGGCGAC